TCGGTTTTGGTATCATTTTCCGGGGCTTCCATGCACAGCGCGTTGGGGTCATTTCTGGTGGGCAGTTTAGAGCAGTCCAAAGAATCAGGCCAGGCGTAATTAAACTTCTCCATGATGGGCGAGCACTTCTGACGTGCCTGTTCGCACATGGGACGGCAGGCAGGGATGGATGTGGACACTTGGTCCGTACACATAGGGGCATAAAGAGAGCAGAGGAAAAATCTCAAATGCACATCACAACCGTATTCCACCAGAGGGGCGAATTCATTCAGCTTAATCGCAGCTTCCCTCTGATTGTTATGGTCCATAAAGTTGGGCATCCGGGTGAGGTTGTACCCGATGCCCTGGCACATAGGGATGACGATAGGCTCGCATTTAGCCGGTCTCCCTCTCTCCAGGTCATAGGAGCCAATCTCTAAACTGTAGGCAGCAATGACCAGCTGACACCACAGAGAAATCACAATTTTCACAGGTGAGCCTCCCATGCTGGATTTTCAGTCACCTTTTTTGAATGAGGCAAGTCAGTGGAAACTTTCCTGGCATATACAGTCCCAAGAGAGGATACTTTTGTGTGTTATGGGTGATTATGCCGCTCCATAGACACCGCTTAGATTAAAAGTGCTTCAATGAGTATTTCATTTGTCCTCCAGTTAAAACGCTGAAAAACAGATATTCCTCTAAATGAAACTTCTCTGAAAAATATCCCTTTTCAAAGTCTGCATATCATATAAAATGATGCTTAATGTCCAAACTCGTCATATGTTTCTATGAAAAACGCGCGTGCACAGTCACTTAAAACACTAATATTTCACGTCAGTCGTTACCGTCATTATTAGGACAAATGAGGGCATCAGGAGGAGCTCAGCAAGAGAAATAACAAATTTGTCCTCGTCTCCAGTTATCTCCGAACTTCTGTGAAGCGTGTAGTCCGTCGGCAGCTGCTGTGTCCTCCTCACATCTCTACTGGAGCACACTGAACTTTCGCTCTCCTCTCTCAATGTCCTCTAATACGGGGGCGGGGTATTCATGACGCACTCTCGTGGTTCCTCCTACACACTTCTGAAAAGCCAATGACGTCGAGAATGTGCTCCGCCTTCTTACAACTGAAAATATATTGCGTAAATCGTGGCTCCGCCCACCTACAACCGAAAAAGCGCTCAATAAAACACTAACTCTCAATCTGGAGATCTACCTTTGGACAAATGTATCAGGGTAATCATAGTTTCAGTCAAAATGCAATATTATTGTTACTCCAACAAATTAAAACAATGAATTGTGTGATCTCATTCAAACAGAGTAAGAACTTTTTCTTTCTTTATTTCTTTTTTATTATTACAATTGTATACGGTTACTTTTACTAACAATAACTGTAATAATGATATTTGAGTGGAAACTACAACTGTGATTTATTTAAGATTATTTATATGTAAGGTGTCCAATTCAAACTGTGGAATTGTTTGTTTTAGTAGACTAAACTCATTTTACTTTTCATTCCTTTCAAATTTCTATAAATAATGTAAATCCTTACATATGAGATTTCAACCACAGATTTAGTTGTAAAATCATAAACAGCCGAACTTGATATAAAATGTCCCCCAGTGGCACAGGTATTATGGCCTAATAAAGCAATGGCAACAGTGGAAAAAGGGTGCAAAGGAATTGATCAAAATAGCTGCTATGATACTCAACACCTCAGGATATTGCTGCAAAGGACAGAAGTTCATTCCAAATGTAATGAAAGACAAACAAAGCCCAGACAAGACATTTTAATTATGAAAATACTTCATCTTACACAGATTCCATTAAACTTTGTCTTTTATTCAACTTAAATATTTATACTGAAACCCTCAACATCCCGTCAATGAGAGATTCCTGTAAAAGAACAAGATTATTACCATCTAGTGGCTATATAATGTATAACAATTCCACTAGACAGGCAACAAAGCAACAGTTGACTTAAATGTAAACCAAACGTATGTATATATGTTTATAGTTTGCTAATAAAAAAATAATCTGTCTTATTTATTCCAAGACTCATTAATCACCAATGCTCAGTTCTCAAGCCAGACATTTGGTCAAAATAAAACAAGCCAGATTAGAAATCCCTTCTATTTTGATGTGGTTACAGTGGGCATTTAAACCTTTTCACCCGCGGTGTTAGATTGTGAGCAGTTATCAGATTTGGATTTGGCATGCTAAGCCTCACTTAGCCTGAAAGAGCACAGAGTGAGTCTGATACCCCTCCAGCCCAGAAAGGAAATACATACCAGACAGAATGATTTTTATCATCCTCAGCGTTTGCACGTCAGATCCCAATCCTATCCAGTTTTGGAATAATGAACACTTACGAAAACACTTGAATTCAAATCCAACTTGCATTGCATAACAGTCATCGCAATCCCTGGAAATCAAACCAATGACCTTGGTGTTGCTAGTATCACGTTAAAGGAATAGTTAACCCAAACATGAAAACTATCTGAAAATGTACTCACCCTCAGGCCATCCAAAATGTAGATGAGTTTGTTTCTTCATCAGAACAGATTTGGAAAAAAATTAGCATCCTATCACTTGCTCACCAATGGATCCTCAGCAGTGAATGGGTGCCGTCAGAGTCCAAACAGCTGGTAAAAATAGCAAAATAATCCAGAACTAAACCACATGACTCCAGTCCCATCAGTTAATGCCTTTTGAATTAAAATCCATCTTCCAGGTAAAATATGAGTCCTCAAATATTGCTTTACCCAGTTTGAATCAGGAGAGAAATATGCACAGATCAACAAAAGAAAAAAAAAAAACGGTCCAAAACAGTTCTAAACAAACATTTTTAGTGGAATATTTCAGTGGATTTAGATGCGAGAGGACAACATGGGATGGACATTTTTCACTGGAAGAAGTGGATTTTGGACTCATATTTCGGCACCCATTCACTGCAGAGGATCTATTGGTGAGCAAGTTTAGTGGAATATTTCAGTGGATTTAGATGCGAGAGGACAACATGGGATGGACTTTTTTCACTGGAAGAAGTGGATTTTGGACTCATATTTCGGCACCCATTCACTGCAGAGGATCTATTGGTGAGCAAGTGATGTAATGCTAAATTTCTCCAAATCTGTTCGGATGAAAAACTAACTCATTTACATCTTGGACAGCCTGAGGGGTGAGTCCATTTTCAACAATTTTTCCTTTTCAGATGAACTATTCCTTTAAGCTTCAGGAACATTTGACAAATCAGTACATTATTTGAAGCTTGACAGAGAAAACAAACACATTTCGAGAGCGCAGGGTCCTCTCAGGTGCCGCACTCTCTCTCCGTCTGTGTATGGAGCCTCCCAAGGACAGATATGAGATTTTTATCAGGTAACAGAACTCTCCATGTTTGCACGCCACCTATCAGAAACATTTCCACCCTTTTAATCTTATCTGACCACTCAGACATACCTCTGTGTTCCCGACTGACACGAAATGCGTCTCTAAAAAAACAACCCCACCAGACTCACAGTCTGGACGACACTGCTCCAAGACCGATCTAATTGAGAAGCAGGGCGACTTGCCTAAAGACTTTACAAATTGCGGGTGACAGATGGAGGCCTTAATTAGAGCTCACCCAACTGTGAATTAAAGTGATGTGAGATCATGTCATGACACCATATCCTGTTTGGCTAGCAGTGCCATGGCGGTATCTCTCTCACTCAAGCTAATGCAGCTCAGAGCACTTAGGCTGTCACTATTTATCAAAACGGCCACCATGTCCTGTGACTCTGCTGCACTGGACTGCACTTTCTGTGGTTGGAAGTCATGCGTCATCAGTATTCACTTTTCTTGTTTGCATTGTACGCGAGTAGAGAACGACACTCTCTTGGAGCGCTGACATAATGGAAGTGTGGGTGCTTCTTAAAATACGATGGAAATCATAAGGTCTGATGCTGTCTGCAGGGACAGTGTGACCACTGAGGGTGGTGTTGATGTGGAGTGTGCGTCGGGCTGTTTGACACGTGGCAGGGTAAGATATCTGTGTCTGACAGGAACAGGGCCTGCCCTGGGAGATAATAAGAGAGGTAAGGGGACAATGCCATCAGCTGGAGTTAAGAGAGGGGAGGCGGATGGGGAGCCATTCATGCTCCTTTCCATTGCGTTAATTTATGTAAGTGTGTTTTATAATATTGAATGTGCATTTTGACCTGAAAATGCCAGTTATTGTTATTGCATGACTGACTTTGCTTACACAGGGTATAGCAAGTTCTGCAAAATTGCTTGTTACCTTGTTGCACTTGTGGTGTTTCAAATCAAAAATCAGCAGCCTTCAAAGAACACAAGATTTGGTGATCATATAGCATAATTACACTGTAAAAAATGACCATGAATTTAACGGTAAAAGACTGTAAAAATGCTACAGTAAAAACCTGTTAAATGGTTAACGGTAAATTCCCCTACTATATACGGTGAAAAACTGTATTGGACATTACATGTATTGGACATTAATTTTACGGTAGTATACCGTTTTTGGAAGTGAAAAAGACTGTATAATTTACAGTCAGCTGCCGGTTTTTTACCGTAAATTTTACGGAATTATTTTTACAGTGTAGAGATCTACATGCAATTTATAAAGGCCAGTCAAATTTTTTTATTTTTTTTTTTTACCAGGAACATCAAATTAGGTAAAGAATTATATTTAAAAGTATATTTAAAAAACTGTACTTGCACATTATATAATATTAATGAAATAAAAGGGCTTAAGTACTTAAAGACAGTACACTATGAATGTTGTTTCTGGACACACTTGAGTACTAAATTGTCAAACATATTACATATAAAGACCCTACTTCAGTGGGTCACAAACAGCATTCTAAAGTTCAGCTAACTGCATTTAATATAAATTTAAACTATAATACATTTTCATTCAATTGCATTTTGTAATTCGCATTTCAATTGCAATCAACAGATTATTTCTGAAAGCTCCTTAAAATGCACTCAAATGGAGTTGAAAATGAGTTCATAGTGAAGGACAAATGGGCCATAGTGTGTGCAGAGTAATAGGAGTTGTCATTAAAAGGAATGAGAGAGCAAAAACATTAGCTCCTACAAATATGTACAAATGTGAATCTTATGACACATATCAAAAACTTGTCCAGGTCCTATACCATCCCACAATAAAACAACAAAACAATAAAATGGTGAAGAAACAATTTTCACTCAAGATTACAAAAAATGGCTAGTAACACACTGAATTAAATAGTGAAACTGAAAGATTTTGTTATAAAATTTTTAAAGTTTATATTTAGCAAAAGGAAAATTAAGTGCATTTAAATACTTTTTAAATAATTTTCTTGCATTACAAAAATATTTTTAGGACAATTAAATTCATTTTACCCCAAAATCTCATAGTTTTTATCATTCTCATTATTCTCAATGATGATTATAATTGCATAACATAAAAATGTAAATATTTTTTTTTTTTTGTAGAAACAGACAAACATAACCTGCCATGATTTATAAATGCTCCATACTAGTTAAAACAAGAAAATTTGCATAACAATGAGGAACATTTTGGCGAATGTGCTTAATTTTCATGAAAATAATGTCATAATGTCATGTTATATATAACCTATTTTTTTTTATTCTGGGGTGAAATGTGACCTGTACATGTTCTTAGGGTGACAGGTTTTGTGAGATTCACTCATATATGAATGTTTACACTCTCATGTCATAATAGAGACACTGTTAACACATGTACCAGCAAATATGTTGTCGTCACAGCTACACTGCATCAATTCCCATAAATAAAAGGCAGTATTCATATTCAAGTCAGCTATGATTTCACGCCGTCGTCAGAAAAACAGAG